GACAAAGATGGTATCGCTGCCCGTCCCACTTTCTGACCAACTAGACGAACGGAGTTCGGGAGATAGGATCTACCGAACAGGGGGAGCATTTGCTCTATAGCAGTCAGGGGGAGCGTTCATCGGTGTTCGCACAGGAACCCCCGAAAGCCGACCGGTGATCCTGCCCAATACTCTGGAACTGTTTTGGGCTATCACCTCGTGGCCCGCCAGTCAAAACTTTACTTTAGTCGAACAGAACTTTCATCCTACGAAACAGATCTGAGCGCTTTTTGCATATGTTGTGCGCTAATATAGGGGCTATTTGGGAATATGATTTTTATGGGGTTACTTTATTCTTTTCGTGTATTTTTGGAATATGTTAAAAATGTATGTAAGTTTCTGTATTTGAGAGATAATTGAATTATCCTAATTTGAGCTCAATTATGTCTCAAACACAAAGGCTCTTAGGAAGAAACCCCTGTGTTCTTGATGTGAAAACCCCATGCTAGGGGCCAGTGCATAAAAGTCATGTGTGGCAGAATAAACTTTAGTTGTACTACCAGAACTCTGTGTAGTCCAGTTACTGGGAAGAAGGTGGGCAATTTCTTGTTCTTGATGTATACTCTTGGTGATCCAGTGGAGGAAAGTCCTGGGCAGGACTAGGGCTCTGCTACAATCATGCCCCTGCAGTCTTACTGCTCAGCTCTCTGCTATTTAGTAGTTAATCACTTTCTTTCTGTTTATTCAGCCCTTGCCACACTTCCTATAACTGTGTCACACAGCTTAAATGCAAAAATATGTGACAGCACAGTGTGTTTACTTTAGAATTTTGGATCTTCTGCTCTGTTAATAGAACTTTAGAGCAGCAAATATGAAATTCTAAATTTTACACACTGTGCAACAAAGGACGCTTAAACATTAGATCTCTCTTTACAGGAAAGGTTGTGGGAAGTTGTGTAGATCACATGCAGGGAAGGTGTGATCTAGGGGTGCAAACGTTTTTAACTCCTAAATGGCAGATAATTTGGCATTGAGACTACAGGGGCAATATCTATACACCAAAACCATTATATTTAGCTTAAGTTGTTTTGGTGCGAATAGTATCCCATTAAGCACAGAAACTACTCTTATTTCAATCTGTAATGTGCATATTTTATTACTGTTCTTTTTATTCACTAACTTTCTGATTTTAAAATATCTTTAAACGAACACTTCCACCCCCACTTTATGAAGCTTTTATGGGGTCACGAGAGTCTGAGCACCATCATACCTTTACAGGTACCATTTTCTAATTATTTAATTCCCAAAGTTAGTCTTCCAGTACCAGACAGCTTTGTCTCCTCTATTCCTTCCTCCTGACTAACACTGTCAGCCCATCAGCAGCCTCCAAGCAAACCTTACTGGAGTGGACGGTGGTCAGGAGGAAAGAAGAGAGAAGGCAGAGTTGTTGGATGCTGGGGGATCAATTTTGGGTTATACCGTTTGAAAACTGTTTAACATCTGAATGTAAAATGCCAACCAAGCATTCCTGTTCCTTTAATAAGTTAGATAAAACAGTGATAATATAGCAATACTATTTAATAATATGGTTCTTTACAAGTCCAGATATATAGAATTATACAAACACATATTTTGGCCTTGAATACATTCCTGCCAATAATATTTATCAGCTCCCAATAAGCTTTTAATCTGCTTAAACTAAAGGCTTATTGGGAACCAATACATATTGCATCAAATAATAATATAGATTTAAAAAAAAAAAAAAAGCAATATTATACTTTACATTTGAATTTTCAGATTTGACAATTCAAGGACATTTGTCAAGGACATATTAATATCAGCCAGTGTGAAAATAATTTTAAAATGCCTGAACAGGTTCAATATAACCCCAATATTAGTATAAAGGAGGTTTTAAACCTCCCCCATGCCTCCACTTGCAATGCAGGGCACAGGGCCGGCGCTTCCTATAAGATGAACTAGGCAGCCGGTTACAGGGGGGGAGAAGATTACAGGGAGGGAGGGGGGAGTGGAGAAAGTTGCAGGAGAGGGGGAGAAGATTATAGGAGAA